CACTAATACAAGGAATCTCTTACTCACGTGAACATTCTATAGTTTGTGCATTGTCACAAGTAAAAACAAAACAAGGAATACAGGACTGCATGCATGCATGTATGAGAGCCGGCTGATACGCACTTTTTAGAATTAGGGAAATACAGTCGTGCTAGCGTCGATAAGTTGGTTTTTCGGTCTTGTCACTATCTTTTAACCAATACGTCCAGGGGCGGAGCTAGACTAATTCAAGGGTATGCAATAATTTTTGCAAAAGGAAATCAGTATATATGCCCATATATACATGTATATGCGTGATAGCAATCTTTTCACGTGTAGAACTCAGGAAAAACGAAATGCATGGCCATCCCGTGACCTCGCGCTTCATTCCATACCCCCCTGGGTTTAAATATTTGCTTGGGATGCTACCGTATCAATAGACCTTAATATCTGGAACATGCCTTTTATACTACCAGCCCTGCCTCCTTCCCTCCTAGGCTGCTGAGCACACGACACGGACCAGTGACAGGGGACAGACGGGAGACGACGCAGTAAACCCCGCCATACCCAGGGGCCGGTGCAACAGTGCACTACGCGATTGCGGCACGGGCGTTCTCTATTCGTGCTCACCTTATCCTCGGCAAGCATGGCGCACACAGGACACACTCCACAGCAATGACGCAATAACATAATTCTATGAGCTTTTCAACCTTCAATATGTCTCGGTTTCTGATTTTCGAGAGCATAGGATGATCTTTACTGTGTTGATTGATTTTTTTTCAGAACATTTTTTTTGGTTAATTCATTCTAACCTGTTGCAATTAACCAAATTTAAGCACTAACTTGCCATAGTTTACTTAAGACTTGAGAGAAGATCTAAATTGACTTGGCAGCAGGCATTGCAATTTTCTCCTTATTTTCAAAATGTCACAAACCTATTATTGGAGATTGTTGCGAGAAAGACAAATCGTAGTTTCATCATGGTCATCGTCAACTTTCATGTCTTATACTATTATTATATGATAGAAAAGAAATTATAGCTTCGCATACCCATGTAAAAAATCCTGACTCCACCACTGAATACGTCTCAGATCGCTAGCTTCTAGTAGGCTACCGGCGATTTGTTTTCTTTCTTTTGGTTTATGCGTTTTTCACTCTTATATTCTATATATAAGTTTTTAGTGAAAGACAAAGTTTGACAAAAAAACATTATTCAAAAAACAAGTTCAGGAAATTAAATAGATGTTTTCAAATTCAAAAAAATGTCAAAAAATACGGAAATGTTTTAATATGCGGTGAAGAATTTTTTAATATGTGATGATTATTTTCTGAATACAAACTATTTTTTAATTTACTTTGAACATTTTATAATATAAAGTTATTTTTTATATACGAATAAATTGTACACATGGAACATTTTCTTAATACAAATTGGACATTTTTTATAGAAGCTTAATCCTTTTTAGTATACAATGAATTTTTTAATATATGGTAAACATTTTATAATATACACTAAACTATTTTAAAACACATACTGAACAACTGATCGTGTATTAAAAAAATGTTCGCAGATTAGAATATAATATATATATGACTAAAATTTGGTCACGCATTCAAAAAATGTTCAGAATTTTAAAAGGACACCCAGGAATTGAAAATTGGTCATAAATTTGAAAAACGTTCAGATGTTTTTTTAAAGTAAAATAAAAAAGAAAAGGAAAAAAGAACGAAAAACGAACATAAAAACAAAATAAAAAACCAAAATACAAATAGATAAAATAGATAAAAAGAAGAGAGAAAAAAACGTTTGCAACCATCCCAAAATGGCCAGAGAGGTTCCTAAAACAGAGTCCCAAAACCCCACAATGCTCTTCCTCACGGCCTCCATGTGCGGTCGCCGGTGCTGCAGCCGCCAATGCTCCTCATGTGTGGATGTGGTAGGCTCCCATGGCTCTTCTTCCCACAGCCGAAGCGGGCCGTCGGTGCTCCTCCACGCGCCATGGTGTGCACCTCCTCCTCAAGAAGCCAGCATGAGCTGACGACAACACAGAGAGAAGATGAGGGGAAGGGGGAGGGGGAGATTGTGCGGGGCTGTGACGACGATGTCACGGGCGGGAGATGAGGTCGACCGTGTTGGCGGCGGTACAACAACAACAACAACCACCCCCCCCCCCCTCTCTAAGTCTGAGAATGACGAGCATTGTTGTGCGTGGCTGTAGAGAGGAACGGGATAAGGTTGTGCTCGCGCCCATGTTGTTCATGCTGAGAAAACTTGGAACGAGCGAATGAAACAGATGACATGGCAGGACCTGTTCACCAAGATTCGTATAAGCTATCGAATGGTAAATGGAGAGTTCGCTCGGATGCATAAAAAAAGTGACGCCAGATTTGGTTTTTTATAGACCGTGATTTTGAATACTTTGATGTGTTTGGAGCAAATAAAAACTGAAGTTTTTATAAACTGTAGTATTTCTGGAACTGTAAAACTGTGACATTTTTGTTGTATTTGGAAAAGTGGTCCTGACCTCTTTTTAAAATAAAACAAGAGAAAACTTCGGAGAGAGAGAGAGAGAGAGAGAGAGAGAGAGAGAGAGAGAGTTGTTCAAGGAGTGTGGATTTTTGGAGGCCGAGCTCCAGTGAGCTCGGTATTTTGAAAAAAAATCAAAAAGTGTATTTAAAAGTTCCAAAAAAATCTGAAAAAAATATCACGAAAACTTATATCTATTCCGCAAGGACGTGTTAAATTTCATCGAAAAATGTTGTGATTTGTAGGCTGTACAAAAATAACAAATTTCTGGCCCAATAACAAAAATAAAAGGCCCATTAAAAAATGTGTATTTGTCTTTTTCCTGTAGGCCACATGTAAACGTATAATACTGTGAAATTTTGCATATACATAGTATACATGTGCATGTGTGTTCAAAAAATAAATTTGAAAATTTTCATGCTCCAGAAAAATAAAAAATAAAAACAAGCTCACTGGAGCTCGGCCTCCGATGGCATTTTCCGTTTGTTCAAGTCGCTACCTAAGTCGAGATAAGAATAGCTGTGATCGCTGCCTTTGATTTTTGATTATATAAAAAAGTATGGTAAACGAGTTGTAATATATATCCTGATTATTAGGCGTTTCGGTAGATTAGATTGTGTTTCATCGGTCCCTCGGGTCCATCTTCCGGCGACCTGCGACTCCTCCATCGTCTCTCTGCAGCCATACCAAAGGTATAGAGCACATTCATATGTAGTATGCTAAGTCGATGTTTACGTGGCTTGTAGCTTAATCTTTATTACATAAATAAGACACATATTTACCATGAAGAAGGAGAGATATGTTGTGTGCAAGTGGTTGGGAGGCGTGCTCTGGTTTTTTTCTTGTTCTGAAAAACCAAGCTGTCCACGGTGTATGGTTTGCACGATGAGCTGGATAGCATCTGAGTATAATAGTTGTTTAAATAGGCTTAACCTTCCAAAAGAACTATAGTATTCGGAAGAAACCTTCGTGATGTTTCGGTCCACTTAAAACCTGCCATGTCATTACCGTTTACAAGTCTCGATCCAGAATTCACAGGATCAGTACGACAGTTGTGGCTTCAACAGTTCAACTACTTGTGCTTCATCACGTCAACGGAAAAACTACGTGCCATGCGCTGTAACATCATCCTGTTAAGAGTTTCCTCGTTTCTCAAGAATCTCACATGGAACCGAGAAAAAAAAAATCTGAAGTGAGCGCGTGGATAGGGGGAGCTGGAATAACAGCGAGTGGCTACCACACTCCTCATGATATATGTAGGGTTGTGTAGGAAGAAAGAAGGTTGACGTACGTGCTGGCATGTGCGCTTACGGGAACAGCTTGCGAATAATACATGGAAGTTGGGCAAGTTGCGTGTTCCTTGCACAAGCCAGTTCTCTTCAACTCGAATACATTTCTCGTCTTGTAGCTGGAACTGAAATAAAGTAGGGCAACAAGGCTCTGGTTTCGTCTCTTCGGTCGAAGACTTGTAGGGTGGCGGGCATGTGGTAGGTGCGCACGATCGGCACATATATCCGGCGCATGTGGCAGCTTGTTTATTCCCTCGTTTCGCGTGCCATGTCATATGCACGACGAGGTGTAAAACAAGTGGTTTACGTTGCGTGAGCGGCGAGAACGCATGGCACAGTGCGGGGATTGTTGATGAGAAGACGGAGGTTGCCGCGTGTGCATGTGTGTTCTTTGTTAAGACTTAAGAGGATAAACGGGATTCTCGCGAGTCAAAGTACCAACATGGGGATCGGTTGGGTACGTAGGAGTGGGACGACGGCCTAGCCGACACTCTCCGTGATTACCTTTTCGACCCCTTTGTTCTTTACGCATGCATGATCGCGACGTCGCAACACTCGCTTGATAGCTTCCGTTCTGGTTCGTAGTAGTAGCCTTGTCTTGTTCATTGGCTGATGATCGATGAAATGTACCGTTTAGATCAATCAATAATATCCGAGGGGTTGGTGTATATTCCTATATATCATTTCCACGTGCATACACAAGAGAAAGTTCGAACCAGGTCATTGGTGTTTGGATGGTTGCAGGCATTATCGATAATTGGATCCATCATCGATGTGTAGTGGTCAAGTGGTGTTCTTTGGGTGTGCGCAGTGTACTCCTATGTATATATTGCGTCTTCGTGTAGCCAGATCAGCAATACCCCGTGCAGATAGCATTATTTATATATACCCACAGCATCGCATTTTCAAAGTCGCTGGCAGTACATGGTTTACCAAAATGAAATAACAATCGTTGGTACATTCCTGCTGGGCTCTCATTATCGGTGGCTCGGTGCTGTACTCAATCATGCATATGAACGGTTCCTTCGAATAAAAATAGCTAGGTGCAGAAAACCACGCATCAACCGTTAAAAAACTAGCCGAACCCGCCGTTATATACCCCCGTCGAACCTTGAGCACAGCACCACATCATCTCACCAAGCAGCAGCTAGCTAAGCTAAGCCAAGCCTAGCCAAAGCTTCTCTAGCTTCGATAGTCCAGGAAACATGAGGCTCGCAGTGGTTCTCCTGTGTGCCCTGGTGGCCGTCCAGGTCGCGCTCCTCGCTGCATCGTCGGCGGAGGCCGGCGAGCTGGTGGTCGGGTACTACGACAAGAAGTGCCGGGGCGTGGAGAACGTCGTCCAGTGGCACGTCAGGAGGGCGCTCAAGACCAACCGCCGCGCCGGCGCCGCCCTCGTCCGCCTCCTCTTCCACGACTGCTTCGTCAGGGTACGTACATTTCGTGCACCGTGCAGTAGTTTCACTTTCACCTGGGTTTGCATTATCTGGTCTACGTTTCTGTCTAGCCAGCACAGAGTAACATAACGATGACATGCACATGCATGCAGGGTTGCGATGCCTCTGTCCTGCTTGACGCGTCCCCGGAGAACCCTCACCCGGAGAAGGAGGCGCCGGTGAACATCGGGCTGGCGGCCTTCGACCTCCTGGAGGAGATCAAGGCGGCCGTCGAGGACAGGTGCCCCGGCGTGGTGTCCTGCTCCGACATCCTCATCTACGCGGCCCGCGACGCGGCCCACGCCCTCAGCAACGGCAACATCCACTTCGACGTCCCTGCCGGGCGCCTCGACGGGCACGTCTCCTCGGCCGCCGAGGCCCAGGCGGAGCTCCCGGACTCCACCTTCACCGTGCAGCAGCTGATCGACAACTTCGCCCGCAAGGACTTCGACGTGGAGGAGCTGGTCATCCTGTCCGGCGCGCACTCCATCGGCGTCGGCCACTGCTCCTCCTTCACCGGCCGCCTCACCGCGCCGCCGGAGCAGATCAACCCGGCCTACCGCAACCTGCTCAACCACAAGTGCCACCAGGGCGCCAACCCCGCCGTCGTCAACAATGTCCGCGATGAGGACTACGAGACGGTGTCCAAGTTCATGCCCGGGTTCACCAGCCGGGTGCGCAAGATCAGCGACTTCCTCGACAACACCTTCTACCACAACAACCTCGCCAGGATCGTCAGCTTCAACTCCGACTGGCAGCTCATGACCCACACCGAGGCCAGGGGCCACGTCCACGAGTACGCCGACAACGCCACGCTCTGGGACGGGGACTTCGCCGACTCCCTGCTCAAGCTCAGCAAGCTCTCCATGCCGGCAGGCAGTAAGGGCGGCATCAGGAAGAAGTGCAGCATCGCCACCCACCCTCTCTACTAAATCATACTACGTACGTACGTAGTGCGTCGGTACATGCATATGCATGCATCAAGGTCATCCAAAGAAGAAGAGAACCTTTGCCCCTGGCGGTGTGCAGATTTCTTCCATAATCATGTGGTTTTTATCGTTCAAATCCATTCTTTTGATTCCCATTGGTTGTGTGTTTTAGTTATGGCTACATATATGTATCACGGTAATTAATAAAGTTACGGTCTTTCAAATGTATTACAAATGATCAGAAACATCATTATCGTGAGTCGTGAGTCGTGACACTACAAGCATAAAGCATCAAAGCCACATGAGAGAGCATGCACCTACCTGACAAACCTTACCAACCACATGATCCGTGCTAATCTGATACTCCCATCAATTTATTTTTGGACTGTGATATATACCGAGCGTTACGTATCATTGTGAAAAGTGAAAAGTGAAATGCAGGTTCCTAATTGTGAAATAGTAACAACAGAAAGTGAAATTCTAATATATCATCGTGAAACTGATTATTTCAAAATGTGAAATATACGCTTGAATTTAAACGTTGTTGAAAAATATCCAAGATTGATATAATTTTAGAGATTTTGGTTCACCCACCCTCTCTACTAAATAAGTCACACGTACATCGGTGCATGCATATGCATGCATGAGGTCATCCAACGAAGAACCACTGCATGTTGTTGTGTGTGGATTTCAATAATCTTGTGGTTTTTCTGGTTCAGTCCGTTATTTTCATTCTCAGTTGTTGCTTATTTATGGCTACATGTATGTATCACGGCAATAAATTTATGGTCTTGGCAAAAGACAATGTATTACAAATGACGTTTCAAAAAATGTGGTACAAATGATTATAGATATCAACGTGGTGAGTCGTGATGCTACAAGCATAAAGGGTAGACCGTGAACTGAAAGCTCACATGAGAGAGCATGCAGCTACCAGAGAAATCCTACCAACCAGATCATGGCCGGCTCCTTTCGCTTAATCAAAGCTGATACTCCCATCAACTTGTTTCTTTGGGGGGCGACTACAGTAAAGTAACTAATTCTTAGTCACAAAAATACCCGAAAAAACATGTGAAAAAACATTACAAACAGTACAAAGGAAAAAACCAGACCAGTTAAAATGAGCTACGGTATTGGGCATGGACGGAGGTGAGATTTCCTTATGAATCAGTACATGCGACATATAGCGCTAGCGAGCAAAGTACGGGATTTCCTTAAGAATTAGTATGGGCGACATATAGCGCTGGCACTGGTGGAAAAAGGGCCTTTGGTCGCGGTTCGCAACTGCCATTAGTCGCGGTTGCGCAACCGCGACCGAACGGGCGCGACTAAAGGCCCCACCCTTTAGTCGCGGTTGCTTAAGAACCGCGACTAAAGGCCCGTCCACGTGGGCGCCAGGTGGCCGTCGGGGCGGAGGACCTTTAGTCGCGGTTCTTCTGGCCAACCGCGACTAAAGGCCGCCGCAGGTTTAGGGTTTTAGCCCCCCCCCCCCTTAAACCTGTTTTCTGTTTAATATGTATTGTTTTATTTCTTTTGTGCTTTATTTTAATTTTGAAGGAGTTTCACATATTCTACGGTACTACATACATGCATATGAATGTACAATTTCAAACAAATTTGAAATTAGAACCAAAAAGAATTCAAGAGGAATATACAATATATATTCAATATCATCGGATGACCATATATAATTTTGAACAAGTTTCCATACATAATTTAATGCATATAAAGTTCTACGTCCTCGTAATGGTGTTCTCCTTTAGGATGGAGGACTTCCCTCCTGAACCATCCAGCTACTTCCTCTTGAAGTGGTCGGAAGCGAGCTTCTGGACTAAGCATCATCTGGAGGTTATTCCTCTGAGCATTGGTATCACTCGGAACCCGCTCAGAGGTGTATCTTCGGATCATCTCACAGACATAGTATGCACATAGATTGGTCCTCGCTGGCTGAATATCCTCATCATTCTTAGCCTTTGCCCTTTTGAATTCTAGCTCTTTTTTGAATTCACCGACCTTTGTATCTACGAACCGTCTCCAAACCCTACGAGGCAAAGAAAATTAAATGAACAAGAGAGTTATTAGTTACTTGATATTAGGAAATGAACGAAATAGGCCGATCGATATAGAGCGCAAATGAATGAAAATAATTACTTCTGCAGCATTCTTCTCATGTCGACCCAAAGCTTTGGATCCTTATTCAGAGAGTCGTGGACGAGACATTCTGAGGTGTCAACTTTAATTACTAGCAGAATCCAGTGGAACCTGCGGACACGATACATGCACAGTACGTCATGCATAACTCATCGATTAGCCGGCCACATACCATGCATGGAGTAAACAAAAGAGAATGTGCTCAAGACAGAAACACTCACCCAAAATGGTAAGGAAATAGAATATCACTTTTGAGTTCCTTCTTTGTAAGAAACTGCCACAGGTCTGCCACCATGTCGGCGGGGTGATGCTCCAACACATATCCATTAACGATGTGTGGGTCAATGAACCCAACATCATGGATGTTCCTTACTCTGCATTCCTTAATCTTCATTCTGCATGTATAATAGCGGACACAACAATATAGTTAGGACATATATATAGTGCAGGCAATATGAACGAGATGGGGTAGAAATAAATCACTTACAGAACGTAGCAACTGATGATAGATTTGTCGAGCTCGCGCAGATTGAAAAGCTGGAACAATTCACTCAGATGAATTTGTACATAGTAATGTTTGAAGTGATGCTCATATCTAACTTCCGCATAAATATATTCTTTGGCGTTTTTATTTTTTATGTAACCCTTGTACCATTTCAGCAGACCTTTCATTTGTGGAGGTAGATCCTGTTCCTGCGCAGGCTCGACGAGAGGCCCATTCTTCACATATGTAATTACTACCTCCTTCACTGGCGCCTCGTCAAGGCCTAACAGTTCACGAAGAGTAATACCTAAGTTGGCCGCTTGTTCTCTGGCACTCGTTACAGTCAATCCATGTGCTGCCGCAGCTGCTATGATATCGGGGTCATCCGGACCGGCGGCTTTCACTATAAGCGGGGCAATCGATTGTTTACTTTGTTCCCCGAGCTGGGCAACTCGTTTCCCGCTTTTTTTACTTTCTAATTCCGTTTTCTCGGCCTCCTCCAAGGCTTTGTTCTCCTGGTTCTCCGCCCGCTCTTTCTTCTCCTTCAACATGAGTGCCTGCCTACGAAGTTCACGTGCATAGTCGTCAGGCAGATTCTTCGCGGCTTGGGACGGTGTGCTCAAAAATGACTTAGCCCACTTCTTTTGCTCATCAGAAAATACTGGCTTGGGCTCGGGCTCTCTTTTCTTCTTGCAGTCCGCCTTCCATTTCTCATGATCAGCAGCCGCGGCCGCGGCAGTTTCCTCGGCACTACGTTCCCAAGGCCTTGTGGGGAGAGGCTTCAGTGATGGCTCCGGTACCTTTGTGGTCTTAGGTACATAAGGGTCCGGGTTAATAATCCAGGACTGCTTCTGCTTCTTTGCCGGAGGTGGATTGGGGGGCGGCGTCTGATCACCCGCCGGACGAGGACTGGGGGGCGGCGTCTGATCACCCGCCGGACGTTGTGGACTGGGGGGTGTCGGCTGACGTGACGGAGGTGTAGGTGAACCGCCACCACCACCACCACCGTAGGGGGGTGGACTTGTTGTCCTTGGCGCCTCGCCTGGAAACTTGATAAACTTCTTTTGCCATAGAATGAAATGGCGCTTGACATCTCCAAGTCTTTTCTCCCCTTCAGGTGTAGCAATGTCAATCTCCAGGTCCTCAAACCCTTGGACTATGTCCTCCACCGTGACACGAGCATAGCCATCTTGAATGGGGTTGTTGTGGTGGAGTGCTCCAGGTAAACATGGTAAAGCACTGCCGATGGCTACCTTCATGGACATGTTCCCGATAGGATAATACAGATGACATTCTTTCATCTCCTTTATATCGTCCACGGGGTAGCGAGGAGGCTCCGGTGCAGTAATTTCGACCACCAGAGGCTCCGGTGCAGTAATTTCGACCACCAGAGGCTCCGGTGCAGTAATTTCGATCGTCGGTGCATCTGCACCAGCCGGTGGGGCCTCCATGGAAGCCACACTGCTTCTCCGCTGCTGGCTTCTGAGATCCGCTGGATGATCTTCATGCTGCGCCCGAGCTGCATCTCGTTCGGCTACTAGTACACTCACGGTTTTCTTCATCACATCCATTTCCGATGCCAACCGCGCCACAACATCTGCTTCCCGATCCATCTTTCTCTTCCGGCTTCTGTAACCGTACGGGTCATCGTTCTGGGGGAACCCTATTTTCCACGGAATGTGCCCCATGCCTCGTACACGTCCTCCGTGTTCAGGATTCCCGAGGGCTTTTGTCAGCGCGTCGTTCTCTCTGTTGAACTTGATCTTCCCCTCTTGAGCATCCCTCATTGCGTCAATAAGGGCTTGGGTGGGTTTAATTATTTTGCCCCGGTAAACACAGTCCCCTGTCTCCGGGTTCAGCGTTCCCCCATGCCCGTACCACCAGCTTTTGGCCCTTGGGTCCCATCCCTCCGTACCTGGACGGATTCCTCGCGCCCTTAGCTCGTTCTCCATCTTCTCCCACCTAGGCTCCCAAAGGTGATACCCTCCTGGCCCCATAATATGATTGTACTCCTTCTTAGCCGCATTTTCCTTATTTTTTTCGATATTTGAATGAACTGCTCCGATTTCTTTTGCTTCACAAATTCTGGCCAATCATGTTTCAGTTTCTCATATTGTCCTTTGAAATCCGGAGTCTTGTTCTGCTTGACAAAGTCATGGGCTAGATTTTGCTTGAATTTCCGGAATGCGTCGGCCATCTTATGAAGAGCGAACTGTTTGACTAGCCTCCTCCTCTCCTTGTTTTCCTCAATCTTGTTACCCTCCTCACCGAATTTGTTGTATTCCGGAGGTAGAACGAAATATTCCATAAGCTTTTTGAAGCAATCTTTTTTTGTTCTCTTATCGACAAAAGTGAAACCAGCAATTCG